AGTGGCCTCTTCCTTTTCCAATGCTTCTAAGGCAAATCCTAATTGTTGGGATGTTATTTGATTCCATGAGTGTGGAGTGTTACAACCAATCTCAATGTCTTTCCCAGCATCCACTGCACATACGGGCCCTATTGAAAGATAATGACACCTGATATTTTTCTCTTCTCTCAGTCAAGGAATCATTGACCAACAGAAGTTTCCCAATTGCTGTCCCTACCTGAAGGATGGAGCAACGACTTGCACAGGTCCATATTAGGCAGTGCTTTTCTCCATGAAAAGTAGGTCGGGGCAAGTAGAGAGGCAATGGGAGTGAAGCAAGCAGCCCCAAAGCGTTAATGCAGTTGCTACGCTTCCTCTTCTCTCAAATATAAGGTGTGACTATGCTGAAAAAAAGATTGAATGATTGAGAATAAGACAAAATTGCTTGTCCCTTTGACCTTGCATTTTAGTTTCTTTGCCCCATGTATAAATTGCCTGTTGTGGACTTGCCCAATTCCATCAGCTTCCTAAGCCAATGCCTTAAGGGAGCGGTCCTAGTTTGGCCCTGAAGAGACCGATTACATGGGCTGTGGTTCACTAGCTCATGCTGCTAACCTTTGCCCTTGTGCCATATGTTCCTGCCCATCAGAGCAGTGTGTGGATCCCAGTATTGGAAGTACACAGCTCCTGTGTTTCGGAAAGTGATCTGTCCTTGGCACCAGGCAGATCCTTTTCTCTCGCTGTTTTTTTTTTAGCAGCAATTTTATCTTTTCCGGGCACGCTGTAACATTTGGTGACGGAGGGGCTGTAGATTGAAATAGCCCTTCAAAATTGTCTCACATTTTTCTGATGTCCTGAATCACCAAAGGATCACTGCTTCACTCTTTGTCGAGTTCACCGCTACGCATGAAACCGAGCCATTAAAAGCAGGAACGTACCAATCAGGGACAAAAAGTGTTAGATGATGAGGTCAGGTTGCGTATTAAATTTGTATTCACTTGAGATGGATGCACAAGATCCCATAGGCCCAATTCTGAAGAAAAGCAGTGGGTGCAATTCTCCCCTCCCCTGTGGATTATGAGACAGAATTTGGGCAAGTTGGCCCCGAGAGATACGCGCCCTTGTCTGACCGCCTCATCAGCTGGGTTCTGTGTGACAAGGTCCTCCAGGGACTTTCTTGACACACCACCAATTAATTGCCACTTAAGCCCATCCATTGACCAACTGCCTGCAATCCCAGCAGGCAAGAAAAGTAGCTGGTTTCCTGTTTTGGGGTGACATGCCTCCAGGATTTTGTACAGGATTCCAAATGCCTCAGTATGGAGCCAATCAGAGGCACAGATCGCAGGATATAGGGGATTAGCTTCTGAAAGCCACCACCTGTTCTTGCCTCCTAGCCAGTTGACATCATCTCCCTTGATCCCTACTGCAAGGAAAGCAATGGATGAAGACCTATCTTCTTGTCGTTGGGTCCCCTGATGACAGCCTTTTAGTACCCAGAGGTCATTGGCTTCTGATTGGTAGGCAATTTCTGGGGAGCCATGACACCATTTTTGAGATCCACAATAAGCCAAAAGTACCCGCTGAAGCTCACCAATCAGCTCTGCAGCAAGCTGATTGGGGCATGATCAGTTATGGCTTCCCAGTGGTGAGGTGCTGAGTTAGTCAACACTGAACACGCCCATTCCACCACTTAGGCTCAAAAATGGAAAATCGCAGCCAGAGCGTTTTGTCTAGTGTCATGGACAATATTTATTCCTCAGGCAATATCTAAAAGAAACAATGATGCATTGGAATAGAAATGATCAGATCATCAGCCAATTCCTTGCTGTTTGCAGAAATTTTTGTATGTAAAAATTGTCTGCCTCATTTCCTACAACAATGTCTACACTTCACTTCACTTGTTTTATAACACTTTGGGAAATCCTGAATTTTGAGAGGGATTAAGAAATGCAAGTTACTAAAGCAAAAAAGATTTGCTCTGAGTGTACTTAACAAGCCCAAAGAACAAATATCACAAAAAATCCTTCCATCCATTGGCACCTTTAAACTGTCCCAAGGCACTTTGCAGGAGTGTTATTTACAACCAATTAACAACAATTCTGAACTGTAATCACTATTGTAAGTTGAAGGGAAGGCAAGTTGTGCACAGCAAGCTCCCACAAACAGCAATGAGTAAGCTGTTTAAAATTCTAACACTTTGCTCCAAGTCAGAAGATTGTGTGACGTGAGTATTTATATTACAGCATGGAACTCAAGCTCTAACCTCATCTGAATCTTTCAGGAAAAGGATGCTGAATATTCACAGAGAGTTGGTGTTCATATATTAAATAGGTGGTTGTACCTGATGGATTGCTGTAGAATACTCACCCAGTTATAGTACTGGAGGGCTGTGCTGTGGAAGATCTGGGTGGGGGTGAGCTGTAGTGAGAACAAGGGCACCCAATCATTGTCTTCTTCAATCGATCAAAATGATCACAGTGCGAGCTACTTCAACCTAACATAATGTGACTGCAAAATGTGACTAATAACTGTCCAGGATTAAATGTCTTTAATATGAATGCTGATATTTTAATTTTCTGTTTCAAGACATAGTATGTAAGTCAACCATTGGAACATTATTCCCAAAGAAGCTGTTCAAGCAAACATTTCAATGGTGAATGTGCTGTTGAAATTTGACATTGAGCCTCATAGGGAGATGTTGGGAGAGGTAATTCGTAAGAAGCAAAAGAGGAGATACTGGTAGACAGACAGAGAAGTCCGCTGAAAGGGGGAGAGGTGAATTCCAAAGCTTTGAACTGAAGGCAGGGCCACAAACTGTGGGGCAAAAGGAGTGTAGGATGCAAAACTGGCCAGAACTGAAGGAGTAAAGGGAGGGCTGGAGGAAAGATAGGGAGGGAAAGTAAGAAGCAAAATGACATTACACATCTCCACTCAATTTGGAATTTAACCAGAGTGGGCTTTCAGGAGAGTAAGTCTCGTCGCTGATCTAGTAAACCAGAAACCCAGGGTCATGCACAGGGAAATGGCAGTTGCTGGAATTTACATTTAAATTTTAAAAATCTGGAACTGAACACCAAGCCTCAGTAATGATGAGCATGAAACTATAATCGAATGTCATTAATTTGCTAATGTCCTCATGAAAGGAAACCTTCAGATTTAACCTGATCCGTCCGACATGTGACACCAGGTCCACACCAATGTGGTTTATCTTCTGAGATTTGCTATTCCTAAACTCCACTTTACACATTTTTAAAAATATTCTTTTCAAAGTGCATAGGCATCACCTGATAGGCCAGCATTTATTGCTCTGGAGAATGAGGTGGTGAGATGCTTTTCTTGAACTGCTGCAGTCCTTAGAGTGTAGGAACAACCACAGTACAATAGGAAGGGAATTCCAGAACTTTGACCCAGTAACAATGGAGGAACGGTGATGTATTTCCCAGTCAGGATGACGAGTCACTTGGAGGGGAACTTACAAGTGGTGATGTTCCCATGTATCTGCTGCCCTTGTCCTTCTAGAAGGTAGACGCCAGAGGTTTGGAAGGGACTGTCAAAGGAGCCTTGGTGAGTAACTGCAGCATATCTTGTCAATGGTACTCACTGCTACCACTATGAGTGATGACTGAAGATAGTAGGTAGAGTGCCAATCAAGCAGGCTGCTTTGTCCTAAGTGATGCTTCTTGAGCGTTCTTGGAGCTGTATTCATCCACCCAAGTGGGGAGTATTCCATCACACTCCTGGCATGTGCCTTGTAGATGGTGGACAGGCTTTGGGGAGTCAGGAGATAAGTTACTTGCTGCAGGATTCTGACCTGCTCTTAGAGCTACTGTCTGTATACGGCTGGTCCAGTTCAGTTTCTGGTCAATGGTATCCCCCAGGATGTCGATAGTGGGGGATTCAACATTGGTAATGCCATTGACTGTCAAGGGGCAATGGTTAGATGCTGGAGTTCGATTTGATCGTTGCCAGGCACATGTGGGTCATGAATGTTACTTACCACGTATCAGGCCAAGTCTGGATATTGCGAAGGTCTTGCTGCATATGGACATGAACTGCTTCAGTCCCTGAGCAGTCACAAATGGTACATTGTACAATCATCAATGAACATCCCCACTTCTGACCTTATGATGGAGGCAAGATCAATGATAAGCAGATGAAAATACTTAGGCCTGGGACACAATCCTGAGGAACTCTTGCAGAGAGATTCTTCACACAGTCGCGTGACCTCCAAAAGTCAAATCCATTTTGCATTGTTCTGGGTATGATTGCAACCAGCGGAGAAATTTCCGCTGATTCCCATTGACTCTGGTTTTACTAGGGATCCATTCTGCCACACTTGGTCAAATACAGCCTTGATGTTAAAGGGGTCACTCTCACCTCACCTCTGAAGTTCAGCTCTTTCAGTATTTGAAATGAGGCTGTCACGGAGGTAATACAGCAGCAAACAGGCCCTTCGGCCCAACTCAACCAGATTTTATAAACTGAACTAGTCCTGTTTGCCACATTTGGCCCATATCCCTCCAAATCTTTCCTATCCATGTGCCTGTCTAAATGTTGTTTAAATGTCGTCATTGTATCTGTGATGAGGTTAGGAATCAAGTGACCTGAATGATCCTAAACTGAGCCTCAATGGGAAGGCTGTTCCTTTAAAAATGCCTTTGATAGCACTGTCAACAGATCCTTCCATCACTTCACATAACAATGGCGATTAAACTGAAAGGTGGTTCCTGCTAAGGCTGAATTTGTCCTGCTTTTTACACACAGGACATACCTGGGCAATTATTCACAATGTCGCGTAGTTGTCAGTCTCATAACTGTACCAGGAAAGCTTGACTAATTCTAAAGCACAAATCTTCCTCTCCTCCCTCCTTTTCCATGCAGCCAGTTTTTTTCTAAATGTTGTGCACCCTGGAATATTGACTTCCGTACCTTTGCGCAACCTCTGAGATTTTGGATTGACTTTGTGAATTCTGACCCACAGGTACCACTTTTAAGATTCAAGACTAGGGTACAGCCTGTCTCATGATTTCAGTTTACCTTTATGGATCCGAACTGTCTAATACAAAAAGTTTTTCTTTCTGGTCATTAAATTATTATTACAATGGTTTCAAACAAGTAAAAAGAAGGTTATCTCCACCCTGTTTCCCCTTAAAACCCATAAGTCTCTGATTTATAAATGACTGTTGACTTGGTGCATTCGAAATCTGCTGATGGAGGATGAAAGTTACAGTTTGCTGCCACCCTGGAACTCTGACAAATCTTCAATTTTCCAGGTGAGCTTTGCTGGAAATGTTTTCTGGCATTAATATTGCTGTTGAGTGTTGATTTACCTTGGAGGGCCAGTAGCTTCCTTAAATAGTATCAGAGGAAATAGTTGGACATCTGAAAGAATTCATCTTCTTCTTTTGACACTATGGTGAGGTCAATTCACGTGATCCTTCTTAATCATATACTTTTGGATAATGTCATCATTTGATCAGGCTCAATCTTAGCCAGGAATGTTGACTCAGCTGTTTTGGTCCTGCTTCCTCTAAACTGCTCAACCGTCTGCATCATAAGTCCTCACCATTTTACACAGCAGTTAAGCATTGCCAATGGCTGATGGCACCATTGGGTTTCTGTCTCCCACTGGACCTGTGTATTCTCTTGTCCTGCAAGGAGGGAAAACAGAGAGCTGTCAGGGAGAAGAGTAGAGACAACAAAGTGTAGAGTTGGATGAACACAGCAGGCCAAGCAGCACCATAGGAGCAGAAAGGCTGACGTTTCAGGCCTAGACCCTTCATCAGAAAATGATGATTTCTGATCTCTGATTTCCAGCATCTGCAGTTCCTACTATCTCAGGGAGAAGAGTAGATTGTGCTGAGAGGACACTTGTGGAAGGTGACTTTTGGACATCACTGTGAGATGGCTCAAAGGTGAGGGTGAGTGTGAATGTTGAATGTTCAGATGCAAGAGGGCCTGAAGGTATAGGAAGGAGTGGAACAGCAAAGTATGCTGGCCTGAGGTGTGCTATGCAGAACAATGCTGAGGAAACCACACAGTGCAGCTTGACACCTCAAAGTAGGATATCACTCGCTATTGCTGCCCAGTCTTGAGGTTCTTACAGTCATAGAGGTCTACAGTGCATAAGAATATCCTTCAGCCCATCGAGTCTGTGCCAGTCATAAACAACCACCTAACTATTCTAATCACATTTTCCAGAAATTGGCCCACATCCTTGTACACGTTGGTATCCCAAGTGCACGTCCAATTATTTTATAATTATTATGAGGATTTTTGCTTTTACCACACTTACAGGCAGTGAATTTCAGATTCCCACTGCCCTCCAAGTGAAAAAAAAATTTCCTCACAAGCCCCTAAACCTCCTGTCCCTTACCTTAAATCTATGCCGCATTTATCCTTGTATCAAGGGGGAAAATTTTGTCCTGTTTACCCTATCTATACCCTTCATAATTTTATCCATTTCATTCATGTACCCTCTCAGGCTCTTCTGCTCTAAGTAAAACAACCCCAGTCTGTCTCTCTCCAACCCCGGCAACATCCTGGTAAATCTCCTCAGCACCCTCTCCAGTACAATCACGTGGATTCCAGAACTTTTTTGAACTTCTTGGGGTGGTCTGTACAGGTTACGAGCACACTCCTGCTGCTCACTTGCTTTGAGAGATTAATATTCCCTCCTGTCCTTCGGAAGCATCATCTAATTTTAGTCGGTCAGATCTCACAGCAGAACCTCCAGGGAAGAGTCAGAGACTTTCAGCAGCTTCCATTGCTGTGGTTGTTGAAAGCAATAGATAATTCAACCAATTAACAAGAATCCTCCCTCTGACAGACTTGGCCTGTCCTCCAATTGGTTGGGAAATCTGTCAGTAGAATGCTCATGCTGTGAGTTAGTTAAAAAGCCATAGGAAATCCTACCTCAAAGACAAACAACCCACAACCAGCCTGCCCCAAGCATGAGGGTCTGTCCACCCTTGGATCACTTCTCACAGAAAGAGTTGATTTATCCAACTCTAAAGAGTTGTCCAATTAGTTCCACTCCCCTGATCGTTCCCAAAGCCGATAAATCATTTCCCTTTCCAAAACTGTATTCGTTTCCCTTTTGAAAGCTTTGACTGAATCATCTTCCTTTTGAGCACTACGTCCTCGATCACAACAAATCCGTCTGTAAAAATATTCTATTCTTCCCTGGTTCTTTTGCCAGAATACAACTCCTATTAACCTTAAAACAATAGTCAAAAGATAACATAGTTATAAATAATGTACCAGATATATAACTGGAATACGATTGCAGTTAGCTATGTAATATGATCTGTTTCCATTCATAATTCACGTATGAGTTAACATTCAACTCACTTGTCTCCATCTAAATCATAGCGCAGGGATTCATGCTGACATTTGCTTTCCACTTGCTCCAGTGCCAGCTATTCCTTCTATTATCTCTCGCACTTCAATAAATTTCAGGTAAACCATAGACAGAAAGAGCTATATTGAAAGTGATCACTGTGAAATTGATAAACAATGTGATTACGTTATAAAACACAGTTCAAACCCAACTCCCCTCCCATCCTCAATTCAACGCAACTGTTGTATTTAAATCCTTAATTGAATCCTTGTGCACCTTTTCTAGTTAAACATCATCAGCTGTGACTAATAGTCATTGCAGTTTCAACTGCCGTTTAAAGCTGAATTACTCAGTTGAAATATAAGCTATTTATAATATTCTGAAGAATCTGTGCAAGGCCATTATATAAAGCTGTTGGAACTGATTTCAGAGGTATGGAGGGGTAGTGAAGACTAGGGAATTCTTTCCCAGCTGAGTTGCGAAATAGTCGTCCTGGAAATGGACAATTTTCCATCTGCTCTTTTAAAATAAATGTTAAACAAGTCAGACGGCACTGATGGGGCATTGTGATGAAAACAAAAACCAAAGGCATTAGAAACTTATCAAAATTAAATTAAAATGTCACTGCTGGGTATGAGAATGCACCTGATTTCAGGTTTTTAATGTCATTGCTGTTCAAAAAACAGCATGATGAACCGAATCGAAACATTTACCATCCATCAGTATACTCTCAATCATCAGCAAATTGATGGAATGATGTCATCAACACACTCGCTCACCGTTGATGCTCAGTATGAAGGCCAGCAGGTCCACTCAACTTCAAATTTATTACAGCCTTGATCCAAACATGGATAAAAGAATTGAACTACAAAGTTGAAAGTCATTGAGTCATATAGCATGGAAACAGACACTTTGGCCGAACAAGTCGATGCTGACCATAATGCCAAACAAAACTAGTCCCATCTGCCTGCGCCTGGCAGAAAAGTGATTGCCCTTGACATTAAGGCAGCATTTAATACATGTGATATCAAGGCATCCTGGTAAATTTTAGGTCAACAGGATTGGGAAAAACCTCACTTGTTGGAAGCCAATCACCTCACCCCCAGGACATTACTGCAGGAATTCCTCATTGTAATGCCCATGGTCCAATTATCTTTGGCTTCTTCATCAAAAACTTTCCTTCATCATTAGATAGCAAGTAGAGACAGCCAAGCTGTCAAGGTGCTGTGAAATACACTGGTTACCAATCTTCAAATACAAATGGGAAAATTCAGCCAAGTATCCCAGTACCCCAGAACAACATCAGCACTGATTTTGCACTCAGTGAAGTGAGAATCCATGATTTGCAGAGTCAGAGGCAACAGTACCAACCACAGCGTCACAAATATATCCAACAAGTGTAAACCAACTCAGTTCAGATTTGTGAGCTTTCATCATATACAAACTAACATCCTCATGGCTCAAATTCATGCATCTGGCCTGGGACATGACTAGAAATCAACAGAGGTCTCTGAACAAGTATCACATGGTTGACTGGAAACGAGGTGTAAAGGGCAGCAGACACTTTCCCATTCCGTTATGCTCATGTATTCATATAGCTCTTGCTAATTAGTAATGCGACTTGTTTTCTAAACACAACTACAAACCAGAAAAAAAGCCTGTCGCACAATTTATTTCTTCTCAAATTAAAAAAGGTCCACCATTGAGCAATTACTCTTTCATCTGTAAGAAGTAAATTTCAATCCAGTTCACCCTGACAGCACAAAAATCTCATTTCTCTGCCTAGGTTATAAGTGAAAATACTGTGAATAGGCTTACCCAGTCAAGTTAGGATGGAATAAGTTCTGTGGGGCAGAACAGGCTGAAACAATGGGTCTGCCTGACCAGACCTGTTTGTGGATTTTCAGAAGGAGGTAGAAGCGAGCTGTGCAGGGCTAGGGGACTATCAGCTTGGGGGCAGTAGGCGGGAGGTCACCACATGAAATGAGGGCAGTTACCGTAGCTGATACAATGGCCTGTTGTGTCATGGTGGGGTCATGGTCCAGGGGAAGGTAGCAGGAGGTATCTGACTGCTGGCACTCAGCCTCTGCAATGTGGAGGTCAGTACGCCAGACTACAACAGCATCACCCTTAGCGGCAGGCTTAATGACAAAGTCAGGGTTAGATCTGAGTGCACAGAGTGCAGTCAGTTTGGAGGAGATAGGTTGGATTTGGTGAGGGGGCAGAGGAATTGAAGCAACCAATCTCACGTCAACAGTTCTCAATGAACAGATCAAGTGCGGGTCAAAGGCCAACTTAAATCTTATAAGGAGCCAATTTAAGCAGACTTTCTGGAGTTAACAATGAAATTATTAATTACTAACACAGAGATGTGTTCTAAAAGATAAAGGTGTTAAAAATATGCATACGATCAATCTCTAAATTGCTCACGAACAGTAGATAGTTGACATTGGTGTTTGGACAATAGGTTTCATGATCCTTAGTTTTGCAATGATCCAATTTCTTTTTGAAAGTTACTCATGAATCTGCTTCCCTTTCAGACAATGCTTCACTGTACGGTAACAATCTCCTTCTCATTCTTCTAACAATTGTCTTCAATCTATGCCCTCTGATTGTTGCCCTTCTACACAAAAGAAACTTCTCCTCTGCTGTGTCACTATATTTGTTGTCTTGAAGCATAGCCAATTACTGAAGAGATTGTAGTGTGGGTGGAAGGGTTTAAGTTAAACAACCAAACTCCAATCTGGGCTATGTCAGCTGCTTCACCTGAATTCAGCAATTGGAAATGCAGCGGTAAGCCACATAAGGCGAGGTGAGCGATAGACTATCAATCTTGACTGTCAATATAGAACAATGGCTGCTCACAGGATGAAAGTGTGATTCTTTTATTGGGAAGCTGCTCAAGCAGCTGATGAAAATCCAAGTTTGCATTATGAATTCCCCTGTCCAATCAGGACTCAAGGAGGATCACATACTGATGAGTAATTTTGCCATTCAGATAAATCAGCTTAACATTTGGATGTGATTGGTTTCCATGAAGAGTTTTCAAAGGAATCTCCTCAGTTATGCTAAAGATTCAGAGGCCAAATGAAAGAGAGGCATCTTTACACAGAATCCCACTCATTATGGGCATTGACATTAGCTATTAGAGGTTTGTATGAAAATTGATTTGAAGTTTGCCATAAACCTTTTCTTTCCCTGATGCAGTAGTTCATGTTAATTAATTTTGAGAAGAGTTTTAATTTGATTTGCCTTTGATTGGCAGTTTGAATGAATGCTCTTGAAGGTTTCCAAAGAAATGGGGAGCTG